CTGCACCAAGAGGAACCCAGGGCCCACTGCACCAGGAGGAACCCAGGGCCCTCTGCACCAGGAGGAACCCAGGGCCCTCTGCACCAGGAGGAACCCAGGGCCCTCTGCACCAGCATAAGGTCTGAAAGTCGCTCTGAGGATTTCGTCCCGGCACCTAACAGAAGTCAGGGTACCGTTGGCTATGACATGGAGGTCTGTGTGCGACCCACTGCCAAACCAGTCATGCTGGATGATGTCACAGGCAGCATAACATTCACCACAGCGTCTCCAGACTCTTTCACACCCTCATGCCGCCCTCATGGAGTCTGTTTCTGACAGTGTGGTCAGAAACATGCACACCAGTAGCCTGCTGGAGGTCATTTTGTAGGGCTCTGGCAGTGCTCCTCCTGTTCCTCCTCACACAAAGGAGCAGATACTGGTCCTGCTGCAGGGTTGATGCCCTTCTACGACCCTCTCCAGCTCTCCTCATGTAATGGCCGGTCTCCTGGTATCTCCTATATGCTCTTGGGTCTGTGCTGGGAGACACAGCAAACCTTCTTGTGGCCGCATGTATGGATGTGTCATCCTGCAGGAGCTGGACTACCTGTGCAATCAGGTACTGCCTCATGCTGCCAGTAGTGACAAGGACACTAGCAGAAGACCAAACTAGAGAAGAATCAGTCAGAAAGGATAAGGAGAGAGGAACTGGTGTCTGTGGACACCACATGTAAAACCAGTCTCTTTTTGGGGGTTGTCTTGCTTTTGCCTCTCCGTTGCACCTGTTGTCACTTTGATTTGCACCAAAGCAGCTGAAACTGATTCACAATCACTTGTGCTTCCTAAATAGACAGATTGATATCCCTGAAGTTTAACTGACTTGGTGTTATACTGTGACCACTAAGTGTTCCCTTCATTTTTTTGAGCAGTGTAGCTCTCTGTTTGCACATTACTTCATCAGCTGATGTTACAAAGCAACCAATGGCATATCAATGTTGCGAAACTCTACAGCTAGCTGACCAACCTCAGCCTAGGATACATTTGTTCCTGTCCTCCAAATTTTCATATCTCAGGAACAGGAGGGGAGACATTTGGTCAGATACTGAATTGATGACTCTAATCTTGAAACTGTACTGATTGTGTAGATAGGCAGTTATTCTTTTTTTTCCAAGCACATATTTTTCATTCTTTATGTTAATCTGGATGTTGAGACTGATTTTTCTGCGGTCATAAGTTCAGTCTGACTCAGTGTTTGAGCTACAATGTAAACGTTTAAATCGGATTTGAGTGATGTGCTCATTATGTGGAACACAGTGAAGATAAGAGATACAGAAAGGAACCCATTCTTTTCTCCAAAATAAATCAAGTCTTCATTATTTCCAGTAACTTTTTCTGGCACACATTTTTATGCGTTCACCAGGCTACAGACTTTCCCACTGAAATAAAATGCACCATGACACTTGCATCGGTGCAGAACAATATTTCATGCACAGTGTGCAGTGTTTTCATGCGCAGCATGAAATGCCATTCAAAGGCAAGAACTGAGGAAAGGCTTTTACAATGTTCACATGGCCACTTCTGCTCCACTTGTACTGTTACTGAGCTGTAATCTTTGACACAATAACAAGTATCTTGTCGGTATGCCTTCTGAGTAAAATGACATGTTTTCACTTGCTCTGACCTCCACCTTCCTGTGATGTATATAAGCATGCCATACTTAAGCACAATTAAACTAATAGCTGTGAGTACGGGCCAGGCCTTGAGGGAAACAGCTGTGAGTGACACATTTTGTCTTCTGTCTTGTGTTTTTCCCACAGCACAGTCTGTCTGATCCTCCTCTTCTCTCAGTACCTCAGCAAAGTCAATGTACCAATGATTGCCTACAAGGATAAGAAGTGGAAGGTTTTCCAGTATCCCCTCTTCAAGCTCTTCTCCGTGAGTTGCCAACAGTGTCCAGATCTCATGCCTACTGCTTATCTTCTGTCGAGGAAAAACCCAAAACACTTTAATTTCAGTACCTGTGCCCTGCATTATCAGTGTCATGCTTCAAAACAATTTTTATTGAAAGTACAGTGCATAAAAATCATCCAGTGTCAAGTAATAGTCTGCAAAACTGACTCAAAAATGTGTTGTGTGTGTAGATAGATATTCAGACACAGGGATGGAAAGAAGTTACCACTTCTATTGTGGTAATCTATGAGTAACCTGACCACATAAAAAAGCCGTAGTGAGAAAGCAGACAGTGGTAGATGGTCTGAGGACGGTCCTTCAGCTGCTCGAATTGCAACTTAGTTCTAGCCAGCCGAGCCTATACTTTCTGCCAGATCAGCAAACTTTCTGTTGCTGCAATTACACAGATTAGACCCAGCGCCCTGTGAACCCAGTGAGGGGATTTGTGCCAGATGAATCTGAGTCACAAGAGTTGCTACTGTGAACTCTGGGTGTGTTACTCCGACTTTGAGAAATTCACTTTAGTATGAACTCAGTCGGACTAACATGTTTACATGGATTTTAATCCATGATCCGGCTATAGTCGGACTGACACAATAATACATTTTCTCTGATGTCATGTAAACATACTGAGTGTCTCATCCTCTGAACTCCACATGATGGAGAATGGAAGACACGCTGCAGGTATACACCGCCCCTCTGAATTCTTTGACATCCCATCCGTCACTCTTCTTGCTGCTTCAGGCTGCAGCTGACAGTAATGTCACACATGGCCTTCATGACATGACTGGTAGCAAGCTAGTGTTGTTGTTAAACATACTCTTAATTATATTTACTTTTTGACAGCTGTATGTTATTGACTTTGAGAGCATTAGCTCTCTGGCTAATAGTGGAGCCAAAGAGTTCCATGAGCTGAGTGGACTAGAAAATCTCCTGTTGCTAAGTTGTATCTAAGGTTCATCCTATTTACTGGAGATGTGAATAACATTTCTATTGCATTAGAACCTTCTGGGGTGGTAAGGATTGTTCCAGGTATCATGTAAACCCTCAGGTGTTACCAGGCAAACTGAGTTATGACTTGTGAAAAACTTTAGATTTTGACTGCAGAAAGTATAAAAATATGAATAAATATTCTTTTGTTTTTTTTTTTTAATCATTGGTAGGTGACCACGGTAGAAGCGGGATAATGTCCTTCGAGGTGTCCTGTTTTTAACGGCCTTTGCTGTGTGTCAGATGGTTCACTCCTCCATGTCGGCCGTTAAAAACTGATAATTGACAGCTTGTCAGGCATCGTCCCTCAATTAATTACCACTTTTTTTCAGTATAAGATGCTGCGAAAAATCAAAGTCAGAAACACTGTGTTGTGCATTGTTTTTAGAAATATGTCTCATGATATACAACCTCTAAAAGCATACAGTATGATGTCACTTTTTCCCATTGTCTAGTGTTAAAAAGTAAACAAGAATTGCGATAAATTGTAATGCTGAATTGCAGTTCTTGTGGAATCCCAATAATTAAAAATCCCAATAAGTATCTTGATAGTTTTGAATTGGGAAATAAGCCTTTCATCCCAGCCCTATTATGTAATGGCAGTGGCACCCCCAGAAATGTTTCATTGGGGCAGCTATAACTTTTTTAGGAATTCTGGTATGCAGTTGAGTTGAGGGTAAAGGAGGGTAAATCACATGCCGATATACTTTGGTTTCTTATTAACAAGTAAAGGTCTCTAATTATCTGATGTTCACAGACTAATACTGGTACAGTTAAGATTTTGAGCTCCACAACAATCCTATTTTAATGTGTCATGTATCTATATATACATGTTAGGCGATTCATCATACTTTAAATAGGCAGATTGTCCTTTTCCTTGTAAAGCCTAATAAACAGCTCTAATTTGAAAGAGTACATGGATCGTCAGGAACATTTACTGGGAACAAACCCTCTCAAGTTCAGGCGAGACCTGTTGGTACCCACAAAACCCATTCAAGGGACGAGTTAATTTCATTGACAAAAAACTACAACAAAAGTTTTTTGTTAACAACCTTTTTTCCATGACGAAAATGAAATGATGATGGGCTTGAAGTAGCTCTTGATAATAAAAACTTAGACTAAATCTATGTTTCATTTTTGTTGACAAGACATGATAAAAATATCATCGGTGGTGGACTATCAGACATTGAAAGCCGAGAACGGTAGTGCCTGTTATTATCTTCAAATGCTGCATGAGCAATAGGCTGGTAAACTCCAGTAAATAGTCTGCACCAGGATGTTTCGGTTGGTGTGAGTTGGTGTGGATGGTGGAGCAGCTGAATAGATTTGTTGAGTTTGTTAGTTGCAGGGGTGGCTGTTAGCAAGTTCGGCGGCTCGCGGCCAGTGGCTGCCGGACTTCACAGCTTCACCCCTCAGGACTCCACTCAGTCCGGACTGGAGAAGGTTTCTGGGTTGACGGTGTTTGACAGGCAGGTAGGAGGCTCAGTTATCTGTGAGTTTAGCTGTGTTGTAAGTAAACAGTCTGAACTCTGGCAGAGATGAAAGTTTAGTTTGAATCACCAGTACTAATACTAAAAAGTATTTTCGTCTCATGACTCAGACTAAATCTAAAATAGCTGTTATAATTGCCACTGCTTTAAAAATGACCTTGCAAGATGTTCCCTAAATGTGGAACGTTATTTTGCCCTCTTGCAATAAGCTTTGCCAGCGTAGTTTTACCAGATACCACTATCTTTGCAGTACATTAAAAAGATGAGCATGTCACAGTAGGGCTGGGCGATATAACCATTGTACAATATGTCAATACATTTTCAAGCAAGAGAAACATTTAGACAACACTGTTTTTATCAATATAGATTACATTACATAAAGACTACCAGTGTGAATCTCCTCTCTCACACTCTGCACAGCTCTGCCCACCTCATTTACTCCCAAGTTCTCCATCAACACTCAGAGAGACACAGAGCTGCTCCTCTGTTTAATCTGACTGTTCATCACGGTGCCGCATCGGTCTATATGCTGCATGTGCTGTGCTACATCAGTCTGTGAAATGAATGAAATGACCACAGTAGCACACATGCAGTACATCGCAGCGCTGCTAGTTTGTGTTTGAGATGGATCATAGCGCATCGCCGTTCTTCCAGGTAGTTGTCGTCTATGTATGACACTGAGACAGCGCCTGGCAACAGATGGGTTCAGCAACAACACAGACGTTTCATTTACAAGACGTATATAACGAGGACAAAATGTCTCTGTCTCCGTCCCTCCCTTGTCTTCTCTGTTGATGCTGGTTGCAGAAATAAGATTAAAATATTTAAATCATTTTCCAGCACTAGATTAATTTAAAAGGCCAACAGATGGAAAGCGACTTTTTAACTCCGCCCACAAAATTTTGCAATCGTCTCAAACCTACCTGATCCTTTTATAGTCATGTTATAGTTTAGTGTCCTGTGCTGCAAACTTTTAAACCTCTGTAGCTCCAGTGCTGTGTGCAAAACGTTAATGTGCAGCCCTGCTGTGTATTTTATATTATTTTTCATTTACATGTTGTGCAGCTGTTTATTTTCAAACAGGGGAAAAAAAATCCCTGTCTTTGCATTTTATTTTGATCACAGTCTGTGTTTATGAAAGTGGTTGTGACATCTCACATGTGGTTTTGACTTGCATGAAGCCCATTTTGTAGAAAATACAGAGATACAAATTTTTGTCCATATGGCCCAGCCCTACGCCACAGCCTCTTAAAGATCGTAAACTTTGCCTCCAATTTTTTTTCACCAGGAAGGAGTGGGGGGGTGAGCAGGTGTATCAGGGTGGCCTATCCCTCTCCTTGGTGGTGCCACTGTGTACCAGCAGCTTAACGTTTTTAAAGAATATAGATATGGCCTTTCATATGAGGTAGCATTCTTTTGTCAAGGAGGCTGAAACAGGAAATCCGTCAGTCTGTAGAGCTGAAAACATGCCAACAAGTCATATCTCTTTAGAAATGCTATAATATAAACAAAATGATAAATATCTTATTAATCTTCTTCTTCTTTTTTTTAATAGAAATCAATGTGACTGGGAAACAGATACAAATGTTTAAAGAAATAACAGGATTGTGTCTTTTCTGTTTTGGGAGGAGGGTCCCTTCAAATATATTATCCTATGACTACAGTCACTAGCTGTCAGGTAGAGATCGCCTGTGGTGATGGACCAACACAAAGAATGTGTATTTTGACCTGTATTTATCTTAGGTTGGGCTTTAGTCCACCACAAATCCTCAGTAACACACCTACTGGCCACTGTCAATCAGAGCTCAGCAGATATATGTGCTGCTTTGAATGCCACAGTGATTTACACTGTGACAAGAGATCCAAATATATATTTTCACTGAGGATCTATGTCACCGAGCCTCGTCCCCTTTAATAAACATGACATCTTTCTGTCTGTTCAATAACAGCTAAAATATCACAGGGGTGCAATTTTGTCTCCTTTTAGTCAAATTCTGCGTTTTTAATCCAAAATAGGTCCTTTGTGAGATTGAGTAGATCTGATGAGTTTTTAAAGGGGGGTACTGAATCTGGGTCTGCGAGGAGAGTCACAGGGAATTATATGAGGTCAGTTTTTGACTGCCTGCATGCCTTAAAGTAAGAATCTCTTAAATAGAGTTATGAAAACCTTATTTGGCCTATGTGATAATATGTCCAGCTTGGGACTGTTATTCCTCTTCGCCTTTCTTTATAGAAGGTACAATAGGGGAATAGGGGGACAGAGCTGTCTCACTTTTAAACCAGCAGCGGATTAGGAAGGGACAGCTGGCAGAACGGGACCATGGACCAGGCCCCTGTTGCGACCCTGTTGTGTGACATAGCCTCTTTTTTAGGGATGCACCGAAATGAGAATTTGTGGCCGAAGCCGAAGCCGAATAATATTAAACGCTTGGCTGAATACCGAGTACCGAATACTGAATATCATTGTTTAGTTTGTCATTAGTTTTTGCAGATGAACCCCCTCCAGATTAGTGTTGTCACGTTACCAAAATTGGGACCCACTGTGCGATACCAATGAAAATATCATGGTTCTGAGTAGTATCA